AAGTTCGATGGCAAATCCTCCCTCTTCAAGTCCGTGGAGGATCAGGAATCAGAAAGGTGAAATACCTCTTTTTTTTTCCTTTTTACTTTTACCCGATGTTACAACATCCAACTGCCATGCATGTGGGCATTGTCAGTTTATTGGTGAAGCCCTCTGGACATCCTCAATAATTCTTGTTGATTGTCGTCTTATGGTTCCCATTGATTTTGTAAAGTGGGGAGAATGGCGCTAGGCTTACCGCACCTTGACGTCACTCCTGTTTGATGTCAGAAGGGACTAGTTACTATATTTGGGCAAAAATGGCCGCTCCCAGACTCAGTGATTATGACAAAAATTATTGTTTTCTTTATCTTTTTACTGATTAATGCCAAATTCATTAAATCACTGCGAACGTATTAATTTTAGGTATAGATAATGATCCATTTATTATTCCTTGCTGACCTGACTTCTCCTTTAACTAACACTTTCAAAAGGATGACAAGCTTTTCCAAATGCAGGACGCTCAAAAATGGACAAAGACTGGAGGCTTAAAGGGATAAAACTAAGCAGCCATTAAAGCATTTCTCCACTGACTGAACGTCTTTTGGTTTTATTGAACCAAAGGAATGAAAATAGATTCAGATTGTACAATCTGACCAAGACATTTTCTCGGTAGCAGCTCCTATCCCAAAGAGTGTTGTCTGTGGTGTGTTCAATGACTGGTAGTATTTTTCAGATTTGAATGACTGGTTTTAGTCATCCGCTGCTTTCTAAGCATATCAGTGTTAAACTAAAGTTCTGCTTTAAATGTGCAGTAAAAGCAGACCGTCCAAACAAATCAAACGTCAAACCAGCTCCACCGTTCATGATTCAACACTCACACTTGCATTTGATGTCCCTGCCAGCGTTGACCCCCTCGATCTGCAGCTGAAACACAGAGTGGGAGCGGGAGGAGCGGTCGTTCTGGGCCGTCATGGCGGTGGAGCGGTTCTGTTTGGCCAGAGCGATCAGACCGAGAACCTGCAAGGAGAAAAAGAAGAAGGAAAAATGAGTCTTCATTGCGTCATTATGTGGTCTACGATGGTGGAGCCTCGGGAAGCCGTACCTGATCCTCGGTGTAGACCTTTTCGTAGGTCAGGTTGGTGACAGACACCTCGTTGTTGGCCGTCTTCCGGATCTCGTGTTCTGGTCTCTTGCTGGCCTTGCCCTTGTACAGGAGGTCTCGCAGAGTCTCGTTGTAAATCTCAACAAAACTGGCTGTGAAGGTGAACTGAGACGGAAACAGTTCAGATGTTAGATTTGATCCATCGAGGAGGACAGAGCCTCAAATGGTAAAACCTTTTAGCAGCTGAACCCAGAAGACACTGAACCAACCTCCCATCCTTGTGACTGCAGCTTGTCTCCAGCTTTGAAGATCTGCTGCACGGCTCTGGGAATGACGCCCCTCGTGTCGTCGATCTCCTCCCCCTCCATGGTGTAGGTTTTCCCACTTCCAGTCTGACCGTAGGCGAAGCAGCAGACGTTGTATCCATCCAGAGCCGACTGAACCAGCAGGGAGATCTCATCAAAGATCTGAAAATAAATTTTCCAATCAGGCTTTTTCCTTCGTAGCAAAAATAACACAACAGATATAATCACAGTGACTGTTCTTAACGAGCAGAGATTTCATTAACCTCCTGCTGCGATGACTGAGGCCCAAACACCCGGTCGAAACTGAAGTGATAATTCTTCTGAGTGTCTGCAGATTTCCCTGTATGAGACTGAAGGGCAGAAAAGGCAGAGTTCAGTTTAAACCAACAGCCTGATGCTTTTATTTGAACCATGACAGCATTTCAAAAATATTCCCACCTCCTCGCTTTTGGCCAGCATGATGGACTTGTTGTCGCTGGCTGCCAGCTGGATGTGTTTACTCAGGCCTCCATCCTCTAGAGGGCGAACTCTGCAGAACACCCTGATATTACCCTGAAACAGAAAATGATTCCCTTTTTAATGTTCCTGAAGATTAGAGACTGTTTGCAGTCACAACTTGGATATTTCAGGGACATCATCACTGGGCCATGAGGAGTTTCATCATGCAGGGACCCACCTTTAGCTCCTGGATGGTGTTATGGAGGCGCCGGCGCTCCATCTCCCCGGCGTGAAGCTCGTCTTTCTGCTCCGCCACCATCTCTTTCAGAGAACTGACTTCTTCTTCCGTTTCCTTCAGGGTGGCCTGGAGTCTGGCCAAAGTAGACTCCTGAGCTGACAGCTTCATCTGCAGGAAAACATTAAAATGAAGGAGAAATATATTTATTTCTCTTTCAGTAGGCAGGAGATTGGATTCATCATTAATAATTTTCTTAGCTAACAGGTCTGGCTGCTGTCAGCCGTTTGGACTCTTGCAGAACCAGCCGGTCTGAGGAGGAAAGCGTCTGACCTTCAGAGTCTGCAGCTCCGTCTCCTGGCTGTCCCTCAGAGTCTCGATAACTTTGTATTTCTGTTCCAAGTTGGAGAGCTCCTTCTGGAGAACGTTCTTCTCACTCTGCTCCTTCTCAAGCTCCTTCTCCACTCCAGATAACTTCTTCAGCTCCCCTTCATATTCACTAATCCAGCAAGAAAAAATATAAAGTTCAAAACCACAAACTTTGAAACCCAACTTATTCTCTAACAAATCAAACTTCCTACCTGATCTTCCTTTTCTGGCTCTGGACTTCTCTTTCCAGTTCAGCCACTTTAGTTTGACTTTGTGCCACGGATCCTTTCAGCGCCTCGTTCTCCTCGTTCACAGACTTAAACTTGGTCTGGTAGGTGCGGATCTTACCCTCCATGTCGCTGACCTTCCCCTTCAGGTCCCATGGCTGACGACGGGTGGCCCCAGTACCGCCTAAACACAAGAACTTCATTAGCCTCAAGATTCTACAAACAAAACTAAAAGTGTGATTAAAGTCCACTAATCTTTGGGTAACTTTAAATTGTATAATGCAGTGTCAACATCTCCAACTAGAACATCAACGCTCATTTGTTTTGCAAATTACTGCAAAAACTGGACCTAAAACCGTTTTTCGATGCTTTCATGTCAAAGATGACTGAAGCAAAGAGTTTCTCACCAGGTTTGGTTGCTGCAGCATTTTTGGTGTTTGAAGCTTTTGGAGCAGTGGAGGCTGCAGTTGGCCTCAGGACTCCTGGCAGAACAAAACAAAACCATTAAGCTATGGCATGTTCCTTCAGAAGCACCAAGTTTTATAAACAATAAGTTATTGGGGCCATATTTAACCCATCAGGCGGCAGAGAGGGCACCTCACCTCTGGAAGGAGCAGCAGCCACAGTAGCAGCTCCTGCACCTCTGACTGGTCTATCTGTGAGAAAAAGAAAAAAAATATATATTTTTTATGCAATTAAAGCAGAAATATGATCTGCTTGGATGGTTAAAATATAAGTACGTACAGAGAGATGCTCTGGCTGCTGCAGCAGGAGGCCGCTTGTCACCAATGATTGTTGCAGCAGCCTGAGGTTTATGTGGATCCTGCTCCTTACGCATCTTCTTCTGCAAAATTACAGCACAAAGTGTCAGGTTCTGATTTACATACAATAACTTAAGTGCAAGAGAAGGGAATTCACCTGAGATTCAGGGAATTTAACTATAAAATTTTAACATTAATTTGGACCAACAACAGATGCTTGTCTACTTCAAAAGTCACAGGTCTTATGCCTACAAGGAGCTCAGCACAGATACAACTTCTCCAAAATGGAGCAAAGCTAAAGTAATACAGGAGATGATCATCTCTATATTATCCTCTCCTGCAGATCTTTCTTCTCAGGCTCAACATTTCACAGTGAAATAATATCTCACAGAGGATCTCTAAGAGGATCGGCTTCCTTCCACTGATCTGACCAGAATAACATGCCGACTTTGACGGCCACAAGGCCTTCCTCTGCTGCAGCTGCTTCTTGGTCTTTGTCTGACTTTAAATTATACACAGAGTAACACATCTTTATGGTTACAGAATAGAAAATATCCCTATGTGCTTTTATGACAAACCTGCATGGGAGCCATTTCCTGGGAATTCTCAGAGCTGCTGCTAGTGAGAACCCTTTTTGTTGACATGACTGGTAGTCTGGACATATTCAGCTGAGGAGAGAGGAAAATGAAAGGGTCACATAGACAGTAAACCTAAAAAATTAACGGTGAACAGAGGAATGTGGCCCCTCCCCGATCTGTTGCTGCTCACTCCTAGTTGGCTTCTGTTTTCTTACAACAAAGATGCACTTGCATACTTGACATTTTTAACACCAAAGAAGACATTAACTTCCATTCTTTAAGCTAAGGAAGAAGCACACCTCACTGTTATAGTTGTGAAAGGTTAAAAGCAGCCTAAGAAGATGAGACTGATTTACAGCTAGTGTTGCACCGATACCGGACGAGGCCCCAATCCAGCACTAAAATGATGGTATCGGTGAGTCCCAACAAAAAGGGCACAGATACCATTTTGAGTCATAAATGTTTTCAACTATTTTCACCCATTCCAGGTAGGCAATAAAAAGTTCTACTGGATTCACTTTGTATTAGTCTTTTTCCTGCTTCACAAAGGTAGGCAGCAGCTTGACAAAGCCATGATGGCAAGTATTTTACATCCAAGTAGTATGCAGTTCTTCATATATATACACACACATCAATTTCAAACAGATGGTATCGGACGATACTGCACAGCCAGGTATCGGGTATCAGGGCCAAAAAATTACATCGGTGCAACACAATTTACGGCTGATATCAGCTTCTCACTGTTTTGTTTTTCTGCAAAGAGCTGAAATCAAAGTAACTAAATGTAGTCAGAGTTCATCCTACATGTCTACTTAAATCTTGACAAACAGGGTATTATATTGTTAATAAAACTATCATGGATAACATCATTATAATATCATTGAATAATCAAAGTATTGAAACATTCGGGACACAATAATCAATGTGTTTCCATGTTTCTGTGTCAATGTAAACAAACATGCTATTAGTTTAGAGAGATCCTGATCAAGAAGCTCAACTAAATTCATTTTGAAATAGAAATACCTTTATTGCCCCACAGAGGGAGAATTCAGGTAAGAGACACAAAACAAACAAAGCCTACAGGTACAAACAAGTCTGAATAATATGGAAAACAGTAGAAAAAGAGAACAAGAAAACATCAGCTTTGTATTCTGAAATTAAGCCACAAGGTAAGAGGTGGGGTTAATTTAAAGTTGAAAGTATAAGTAACATACTTTGGAAGACACTCCAACTTATTTGGCTTAAAATACTATAATATAATAATAGGCTAAAAGTCACAAATCAAGGCTGAACGTATTTCTGACTGTAACGTTAATCAGAGGACATGCATGGCATCTTAGCAGAAGAAAAAATAGAACATCGCGATATCTCCACACCAATGGGACTGGTTTCTATTGTTTTAGATAGTTTTTAAAATTCATTGGTTACAGATGGATTTTAACTCAAGTTCTGTAAATCACACTGTTAACTTGTACATGCATCAACTCACTCTGAAACATTTCGATTTAAAATTTGCCCGGAACTGATTATTTGTTCCGTGTAATCCGTACGAGATTAGCAACCAACGTCCGCGTTGTTGGCGTTCAGCTTTTACCCTGAGTTAAAACTCTGCGCAGCTAACATAGAAAGCAACTATACAATAATTTAAATGTGATTCTTAAAGGGATATTAAAAAGCTTGGATGATTAAAGTCATCCTTTTAATACTAATACCTTACAATACGTCAGAGTATTCGCTGAATGTCCTCCCGTTTCGCCGTCTCAGTACGTTTGAATTTGAAATCAAACTGTTTTGGTGAGCGCTTCGGATTCTCTACCGTGATTGGCTGAGAGGGTGTAAACCCCGCTTCCGGTCGTGTGTGCGCTTGTTATGGCTCACGGTCTGTCTTGCTTGGGCGGGATACATAGTCTTTGTATGGTAAACTCCGCCCCAAGAGAGATAAAGGTTTTATTATTTTTCCTGTAAATTCTTTCCCCACAAATAACACATGTCCAGGGTTTAAACTGAGAAGTCTTGCAAGGCATAGAAAATTATGAATTGTTAAAAAAAATCTTTGTTTAATAAAAAAAAAAAGTGATATGATTTTGTGAAACACTTAATATATAATATATATATATATGAAAGAAGAAATTGAAGTTATTCTAAACACAAAACATAATTTTGACAATCATAAATACAATAGAAAAGTATGGAAAGTTAAGAATTTTGAAACAGAAAATCTTAACTTAAGGATGCCTAAGTCTGACATCATTTAATAGAGAATAGCTTTATTTTGACCATAGGTGAAAACTAAAATTAGACACTGTTTTTAAAAAAAAAGGTATTTTTACTTTGCTAATGGCATTTGACTGATAGGATCTGCGCAAACCATGAACTAAATTGACTTTTGCACTAAGCATGAAATATCCTATGTATTTGGCTTTTCAAATCACATTACAATGTGTTGTATTCCACCGCGAAACTAGAAAGAATTCATATCGTTGCAATAAAACATTTTATGCAAATAAACAATTATTCAATTTTTTTCTCACGTGAAACTGACAACTATCAATTATAAAATGAATCTGAAATTTTGTCTATAACAGTAAAAATCCTGCAGATTTGATTTTAGTGATCAGTTTATTAAAATCAGCTATTAGTTGATTATTCAGAACCATTCATTGGGCCGGTGTTGATCAGGTTTCTGTTTACATTTATGCCTGCAGCTTCACCTGATGAGCTTTTTTCATGTCTTTATATTTGCTGATTAAAATGATGAAATATTTGAAACTTAACCACATAAGGATTTTACAATAATAAACCAGTCATAGCCTTTTTTCATAAACAGTTTTTGAGTTTTATTCTCCATAAGGGAAGAAGAAACAGTCTGTTCCGATGTGTAAGAGGTTTAACTGTGCATACAGTATGCAAGAGTTTAATATAGGACAGTAAATAACTGTTTACCAGGAGCATTGCTAGGTTACTTTTTCATAAAAACACACAGACTTACAAAGTTGAGCATACATAAGGACTGTTGCTTTGTTGTACAGCCTGGTAGGACATTTTGATTGGATAGAGACAGTGTCCCAGGTCATCATATCATTTAATGCTATATTAACAGGTTTAGGTCAATTAGGAGTCTGACTGCAGCGTTTTTATTCTTACACAGCACCATTAAATATATTAAAACAATCAAAACAGGCCAATAGATGTTTTGTAAAACAGGATATTTCCTGTTTTTGTCATACGACTCAGAAAAAAATGCTTTAAACTACCTAAAAACAAACAGTATTTGTTCTAATTAGATAGTTTGAGCATCCGTCGTTATATTTAATAGGTCAAAAAGATTTATTTTGGTTACACGGTAATCATTCATCTGCTCCAAAACATATTTTTTTGTTTTAAAAGCTGTGACTCCTTATAATTATTATTTTTGTTTGCAGTGGTCTGGACCTGGGACACCGTCTGGGATTTGGATCTGTTCTCATAGATTCTGTACACAACACATACTTCCCTTTTACAGATGAAAAAGTCTTTTCTATCTATTGTATGTACAGCATACTGCAATAGCATAATGCCTCAGAGTGAATATACTGTGGATAACATTTGCACTACAGGTTTAATGAAAGTAATAATAATAATATGTATGAAAAGTTCTTAAAAAAAGGTTGATAACAGTACCTGTCAGCCGTGTTAATCACACAATCATAATTTCCCATCAGCCCCCCTGATAGCAGCCGGGTGGGCTCTCATCACTCACAGGAGGATGCTGCTCTGAATAACCAAGCTAATGAGATCTTTCTGTCACTATCATGCAATCACTCTTCCTCTCTGTATGATCCTCTGTCCGTAGAAAAATACAAACATGATTTATAGGTTTTAAAAAAAAAAAAGACAAACAATGACAAACATAGGCGTGAAGTACGAGCTTCATCAAGTGCTTTCTGTAGGACTCCACCGTCCTGCTTTTCTCCAACGTGTCGCTCTGCTGCGGATTCCTCACGTTTACTACATTCTTGTAGAACTTCTTTTGTTCCGGACAAAACGGTTCCTTAAGTCCCCGATCCTCTGATGTGAGTTTAAGGAGAACATGACTACGATTTGAGAATGAATCCTTTGAAATTTGGATGGAGAGTTTCCTCACTTATAGATAATTTCTCCTTAATTCAATGAAATGTTTTCTTCAGCGTTCAGATTAATTAAGTGGTTCCATTTTGGTGCCGGTTCTCAAAATCTTTTTTCACTCTTCCTTGTGTTGGCTTTGCCAAATTGCCGGAGCTTTTTTTTTTTTTAAGGGGATTTAATCTGAATACCAACAAAGTTACCTTACTGTAAAGAAATCAGGTTGAATCATCTTTGATTTTACAGATAATTTACTGTGATCTCCAAATCGTATTTTTGAGCAGGGCTGTTGATTCAAAACCAACTTTTTGAGACATGAAATGTCCGAACCCCAAACCAGCGTTCTCACTTTGAGGTTCCTTAAATCAACACTTTGTAGATTATCTGTAATCCAAGCACGGATCTTTAAGCTGATCTCAGTATTAAAGCTCCAGAATCTGGTGATCTAAGCTTGTTTCTTTGATTGTTTTGCAATATCTCACTGATCCCTTTCTAAACGTCCTTCAGAGCTACTTGACAGTGAATATAAGCACGGCCCTGCTGGAGTCGGTGTCAGAGCCGGATGGCTGATGAGGATGGTAACAGTTTCTCCTTTCATAGCCGTGTCTTTGTTTTTTTTTTAGTTTGAAGAAGACTGTAAAGATGAATGACGCTGAATCAAATGGAGCTTTTTACACTGCAGATTATTAGTAATGTCCTAAACGGAGCCGGAGGACGCGGCCTACGAGTTCATGTGCTCCACCTGGATGGCTGACGTGGACACGGTTAGACAGAGGTCCTTATGGGTCACCGGCAGGTCGCCAACAGCGACTGGTTTGTACTGAATCTCACTGGCCGACACCGTTTTATACTGGTGCAGATCAAATGGACAGGGAACCACGCCTTCAGAGGGTTGCTGGGTCGCCTGGTAGCTGCCTGGGGGTCCAGGATTCTGGTTCTGATTGGTGTTGTTTGGGTTGTTCTGGTTCTGAAGCTGGCTTCCTCTGCCGCCGCCTCTGCCTCGACCGCGGCCTCGGCCCCGGCCCCCTCCTCCCGGGGTGAGGCCCTGGGCCTGCTGGGCAGCTACTGTTGCTGCCACAGTCAGCGGGTCGGGGTTGTGCTTCCGCATGTGTTTCATTAGATACGTCTCCTGGAAAAAGACGAAAAACAAAACATTCTTTGTTAACATTTAGAATAAACTATTTCAGGGCCCATTTTAAAGGTCAGTATAAGATATGAACACTCATTACCAGTCAAAACTTTGTACACATCTTTGTCATGTATTGGTAGTTGAATGAGGACATCAGAAAATTATAAAATAACCTGAGCTTCTTCAGGTCGTCACCTAAAATGCTTTTCTGAAAATCTGACATATTTTCCCAGAGTATCAAAGGTAACCACAGAGATGGGGGATCCGGAATCAACAAGTCATCTCTATGTCATTTATTTGTTCTGCTTAGCCACAGAACAGGGTGAGTCCAATCTGGTTAGACCGGTGCAGATTGGGCTCACCTGGTTCAGCGGCTGGGGAGATCAAAGACATGATATAGAGATGACTTGTTTACTCCACATCCACCATCTCTGGGTAACCAGACGTTCACTCAGTTTATGTAAACATGTTTCATCTCCCTTCCAAAAGTGGTTGGCCAAATTCGGCCTAAGAAAAGTCGCCCAAAAAGCTGCCAGACAGAAAAAAGTAGCTTCTAACAGCCATTGTAGGAGAATCTTCTCTGGAGAATCCTCTCACTGAAACTAATCCCTGAGAAGTTACACAAATGGTTTCATTGGGATCCAGCTAAACAACTGGAACCAAACAATAGACTCTAATGACCCACTGGGGGGAGAGGCAGATCGTTCATTTGCATCCGATTCAGAACGTTCTATGGAAAATGGGACTCCATGTGTTTAAAAAAGCAGCTCGAAACTGCAGGTTGACAAATAATCCAATAGATGTAGCAGTGGGAAGGTGGAGAAAATCAATACATTGATGGAGAAACTGATGGATGAACAGCCAGATGGAAAGATTCAACTTTAAGACAACATGGAGTCTAGAAACAGCTGCATAGTACTATCTCTACATAATCCAAATGAAATATTCATTACAATTAACCATCATTTTCTTCACTTTGACATCTTAATCAGTTAGATTTAAATCAGCTGCAGTCATTCAGGACAAAGAAGCCATCTGAATTTACTATATTACTGGTTTGGATGAATGGCACTTCAAGCATTAAAGATAACCGAGTACTAGGGCTGGGTGATTATTTAACATCTTTTTGTTTATAAAGATTTCATTTGTGAAAAATCTGTTTTTTTTCTTCACTAAAACACTTATTGGTCTCCCGTAGATAATAGTTAAATCAGTTCATCACTCTCTGTTTTTAGATATTGCCCATCCCACTAAATGCACATATTTAGTTATATTTTCACGGTTTGATGATGATTATTTTACAAAGAATGTTTGACAGCTTGACGTTTGTTGTCCTTTAAGTTAAGTTCACATTCCACAGGGAATTTTTTCGTATTTTATTATGGAACTTTAAAAATAAAATGAAAATCGAATAATTGGATTTGTTAGGAAAAAAAAAATAGATCAGATTTTTAAGCTATATCCCCCAGCCCCACTGTATACTGCATCCAAGCAGCCCTTAACAGTTAAAATACCACAATGATAATGTGAAAATCACTGCAATTTGTCCATTTCTAGGTTAATTTCTAGGTTACGGTAGAAAATTTATATGTTATATAAAAACAGAGAAGAAATATGCTAAAATAAGTTTCAGATAACAAAAGACCATCAGGAAGGAGGGAGTCATTCTGCTCTGAGAAACAGTGGAAGACTTTTCCTCAACAGAGAAACAATAAAAAGTTTCCAAATGTTTAAAACATTTTCTGAAATAAGTGTTGGACTGAAGAGAGAGAGCAGGAGAGTAAAGTCAATTCTTTGTTCAGTTTAAATATTTTTAGAAACAAATGGCAGACCTATTGAAATCTATTGGGGAAAATATGTCACTGCAGAAATGAACAGAGGCAGCAGCTACAAAGAATCATTGCTGGTGAATTATGGCACAAATCAAATGAAGGGAATTTTTTACTAAATCGATATTTTAATTATCAAAGTGGCTCTGATGTAATTTATTATAGTGAATAATGTCTGTTTTTAATTGCCATGGACCAGAACCAGAACTGGAAAATCCCAGCCACTGACAGAAAACGTTTCAAAGCATTGATCGTCTAAATCTTAGAGCTGAAGGTCTGAAAGCGTACCGATGTGTAAGATCTGTTGCAGAGGCCGCAGGAGTACAGCTTGGCATGTTTGACGGTGTGCGTAGACAGGTGTACTTCCAGACTGGCAGCGTCTGTGTAACCACGGTTACAGTTGTGACACTTGAAGGGCTTATCTTTGTTGTGCTGCCGACGGTGAGACTGTGAAGAAAAAAAGACACAGATTTAACCAAAAACATGGCAGAGAGTCAATTTTATGCCTGGGAGCATAAGAGAAATGATTTCACAGACCTGTAGGTTGGACAGCTGAGTGAAGGCTTTTTCACAGCCCGGATGGTTACACTTGTAAGGTCGGTCACCAGTATGGATTCTGGGAAAAGAAAACAACAGATTAGTCCGTTTCACTTGGATATATTTACAAGATTTTTATACAAAGTACGATATAAAGTAAAATGTAAGAGCAGATTTAACTCCTCTAAAGTCCAAATGAAAACATTCGTAAAGCAGCAGTGATGGGATTTTGTCCATTCCTGTCTAATGCTCATATTTCTTCTACTTTCACTTCCACAAAACGTTTATTTTTGGTTCAAGGCTGCATGACCTACTCTGATCTTTGAACTGGACGCCTGCAGATTCTGGTCTTTAACAGTTTTAGATGGATCATTCATCCAGAAACATCCAGATGAATGAATCAATCATGATTAAAGTCCAATTTATTGTTATGAATTTATAAAGAAAAATAATAAGATTTGAGTTTTCCTGCCACGCTGGAAAGATTCCAGAAATAATGACCCTTCACAACGACTTAACACACGATCTCCACCAACCTGCTCCAAACATGCACACATAAGAACCCAGTTGATGACTGGAAACCCAGCCCCCCATCCCAGTACCGTGTGTGCTGCTGTAGGTGACTGAGCTGCCTGAATGTTTTCTGGCAGTAGGAGCAGGTGTAGGGCTTGGCCCCCGTGTGGATGCGGATGTGCTGAGACAGGTAGCTGGAGTTGGCAAACGACTTGGAGCAGTGGGGGCACTTGTGGGGCTTGGCCTCAGTGTGGTTTCTAACACGGAAAACCGGGATCGGAGGGAGATGGAGGGGAGGGGGATGGAGAGAGAGAAACACAAGAGAGAGAGAGAGAGAGAAACAGCGAGAGATTTTTAAGCTACAGCATGACCAAAGTTCCCAACGAACCCATGCGTTAAAGGATCTCCAATCAGCTGCTGATTGGAGATGGTTAAGTTTGACAGTGTGCTCTTTGTGCTGCGTCTGAGTTGTGAAAACACAGAACAAACATACAGCAAGCACAGTCACGCTTTCCTTTCTCTCTCTCTCTCTCTCTCTCTCTCGCTCTCTCTCTCCGTTCGGTGTGTCCTGCAGTAAATGGGGTGTATTGCTGTAATATGGATCGAAACGCAATGGAAACGGGTGGCAGGAACAAAGACGGCGATGGAAAACCAAGAGCAGAGCAGTGAGTCGCACAGAAAAATAAATGAAGAGGTGAAAAGCTCAAACTAAAAATAAAAACATCCTTTTAAATGACGGCGGCATGGATGAATAAAGATGGTTTTATTACATGCAAATTCATGCAAAATTAGTAAAAATCATTAGATTAGCTGTTAGCCTACTGGTTTACTATGTCAATCATGCATTATATCAAACTAAATGTGTAGACACTGGGAGCTTCTTTCACTGCAAAAAACGGACCTAAAATTAAGTAAACAATTTTTAAAGTGTATTTGCCCTTAATTTGAGCAGGTAAAGCAGGGTTTATACATGAATAAGTAACTCTTATTTAATGCTTTTTAATGCTCTTAGAAATAATCTGAATGCCATCAACAAGTACCCAAGACTTATATATATATATATATATATACATGTCAAAATCCTTCATCATCTTCCTCGTTTTCCAGCCACTTTGGTTCAAATTTGCATTTCCCCCCCCATTCTCTAGCCTTTTCTCCGCCTCAAGCTGCTTTTCCGAAGCATTTTAATGCCACGATTATCAAATTGAATTCATTTTCATGCCAATTAAGGCCTTAATTTAAAACATAATAATTTAATGACATTTAATGATTTTTAATGACCCGCAGAAACCCTGAAATAAGAATGGCTGCCAATTAAATTTTGTGTTTTTGTCCTTAAAATAAGGCAATCATTAGATATTATGTACTTGAAATAAGATAATGGGGTTGTTTTTTTTTCTTTTTTAAAAGCTAAATATTCTTCAGTTCTAAAACTGTCTTACTTACCTGCTCAAAACAAGGGAAAATACAAATGTTGCTGTATTAACACTAGCAAACCCAGTAAACAAGAAAAGTAAATAATATTGTTGCTTGAGGCTCCAAGTTAAGGACAGAAAATGCTACTTTCACTTTTGAATCTCTAATTTTAAGTCTCTTATCAACAGATCTGCACCATGAGACCAACAGCTCACAGAGAGATAAGGACAATAAATGTGCCTTTTAATCTGTTTGGTTATGTAACACAGTCCAAACGTGTGAAAGGACTATTTATATTTGTGAATATTAAGAAGGATCTATAAGTGCTGAACACATCAAGCAGCAGAGATTATTACCTGGAACTGAAGTCATGAAAATCCTGATTAGACCATCCTTGTTTTCTTTTTCATTTAAGGTTATAAATCTGCTATACACACAGAATGCAATGACCACAATAATTAAAATAAAAATAAATAAACAAAACAAGGGTGGTCTTTTAATTCTATCCATGATCATGTTTGTTCTGTTTTAATATCATTAAACCAGTAGCGTAAATGATCCATATCAGCTGTAGTCATTTAAAGTGGTTAAGAAAACCATTGAAAATAGAGTTTTTTCACCATTATTGTCCCTTAAAGACAAACCTGCACTTTTACAGATGTTTTCCTCTAAATTGAAAGGGCTGAAAGAGTCCATCTTAAATTTAAAGGACAATTTGAGTTTTGTGGGGTTTTTTTTATAAAGAAGCATAAAACCAAGGAGTGATGTCTGAAGTTTAGTCAGGAAAGAGATTATAAGGGATGACCAGATAGATTCACTGTATGGATTAAGGTCATTGGATCCATTGGGCCAAAGTCAGCTTTGATCTAAGTTGTGTTTTTCTGCCGTGTCCTAAAAAATGTAGCGGGATTATAAGAGCAGTTTTAATCTGCAGAAATATCCCCCAAAAAACTAGCAGCATTGGGAAATGACTGTTTGGACAACATGAACTACCTAACATGTTTCTGGCATCTGGAGACCAAACTTCACATTATGGACTAATATTCAGCTGCACCTGAAACAGAGTCCAGAAATCTTCCGGTTTCACACAGTGCAGGAAGCAAATATGAGCAAGACCAGTGAGGAGAATGTGGGTTTATAGCAACTGATGCTGACCCTGCAATACTTCCCAATAATAGTTGCAATTAAATTATGGAACTGGATGGAACAGAGCTTCTCTTTATTTTTAAAGATGAATAAGATACTTCATAAGGGGCCTAAAGATTAAAGAACTAATAGTTTGAATGAATTAATCCTACAGGATGTTGGATATTCCTGTTGAACATAATGGTTCAACATCCAGCAACAACGTCCTTCATCTGATGGGAGCCAGTTCTTCTACTCTGAAAGACAATGTTAGGAAGTCTTTAGGTCAATATAATATCACTAAATGCAAAGACAGGCCATTTCTGTTTGCTCTGTAGGATCATGCAGGAAAAGTGAGGAAATAAATGAAAGAAATCATAGTTTGAAGTGTGGCCTGCATCACTCATCCTTCAGCTCACATGGCCTCCTCCAGCCCAGCATCACAAAGTGACTTTCTGTTACGGCTTTGATGCATTTATGGCGTGCTGTTTGCAAAGATGTGAGAAAATGAAAGTATCAGATCGAGAAATCTCCATGAATATAAATGAAGGCATGCAAAGCAGGAACATACGGCTGCTGCATGATGGTACAGCCTGATAAACCTCATCAAACAGGCCGATCTCCAGAACATGAACTGTTTTATCAATCTAATCGGAATTAGGTTTACTGTGAGCTTTGATCATGATGGTTGGACTGCGCATAAAGAGCTTCACACTGTCAAAACTATCCCAAGAGTCTAAAGCTGACTCCCCCCCCCCATTTTTCTCTGTGGACTCATCGTTACACAGAGGGAACAGAGATCAGAGGCACAAACAGAACCTCTCCATCTGGGCGGCCCAGTACCGTGTGTGCTGCTGTAGGTGACTGAGCTGCCTGAATGTTTTCTGGCAGTAGGTGCAGGAGTAGGGCTTGGCCCCGCTGTGGATACGGATGTGCTGGGACAGGTAGCTGGAGTTGGCAAACGACTTGGAGCAGTGGGGGCACTTGTGGGGCTTGGCCTCAGTGTGGGACTTGGCGTGGATCTGCATGTCGGACTTGCTGAAGAACGTCACTGCACACATCCGACACCTATTTAAAAAAGATCTGACTGTAAACAGGAGCTGAAGGAATGAGGGGACCGCTTAGTTTTCTCTTTACTAAATATGTGTCCAGTACCTGTAGGACTTGGGTCCATCTTTACTGGTATGATCATCTTCATCATTTGATAGATCATAAGGGTCAGCAGAGTGGTGCTGCAACACATCAAGAGAAATTTATGAGAATGAAAGAGAATTATAAGTCAATATTTGCATGACAATCCAAAGAAGCTCACCTGTCCACCAGCAGCAAGATGAGCTAAAATTAACGCATCACTTCCTGGAGGGAGAATCCCGCTGACTCTGCTCATCGCCTGTTTGCTCTTCCTGCCCCGTTTTGACGGGGTCTGCATGACGATGGCTGGAGGAAGACCAACATCATCCTTTTTATCTGGAAGAAAAGAAAGAAGAGCTTTTAGTCACTCCATGTTTGCTTGGAAGCAGATGCAAAAACACAAAAAATCAAAAGTGAATTCTTCAAAAATATATTTCACAGTAAAAATGAAAGAGAAAATACAAACAAAACTAGAGCAAAAAACAGAAGACAGATGAAATAAATCACTGCCCATTAATAAACCCGACTGAATAACTGGGGATGAACTTCACCTGTGTTTGAAGGGTGCACAGCAGACACTATCATGGTGGTAGCAGTGTGGGGTCCGCTCACAAATGACTGCGTGGAGGCAGTTGGTACCAGAGTGCCTTGAGGGGTGGTGATCACTAACCCCGCTGAGACGAAAAGACAAACAGTAAACAAGCAGTTTATTCAACACCATTAAACACTTCTAACATCTGCAGAGACTTCTAACATCACTCTACAGCTAGAGTGATGTTTATGTTTTTAGGTTGTTGAATCAGATGCTATTAATGCCAAAACATCTGACTGTGGCCTCGGTAGGTTCCTCCAGAGAACAGATCATGATATGATAATTTAAGTCATAATGGAAGCATTTTGTCCTTGCAAACAATCTTATGCATAAATAAAACAGGTGATTGTCACAGAGAAAGTAAGCTCTCAGTGTCTGCATTGTTTAATTTTATTTAGTATTTAATAGAAATGTTATAACACAGGATAAACGAGTTAAATATGCAGAAACTACATTAAGAGCACGGTTTATGGTTTGGTGTGGGCATGGCTTATAATTAATTGTTTGGATTTTCAGTATTTTCAGTAGAAAACCGTCCGAACCGTTCGGTTTCGACTGTCTCGGTTCGGTTCGCGTGTGTTGCGTTCGGTTCATGCGCTGCTCCTTTTTCTCATAGGCGAAGCGATTACACTCCAGAGCAGAAGGTGGCGGTGCTGCGACCAAAGCCAACCACCAGTAATAAACAAGAAGAAGAAGCGAAGCAGCTTAGCAGAAAAAAATCAGTTGTTGTGGAGAATTGTGTGGGTATGGCGAGTGGGAAAGAACAGGAGTTGGAAGACGCGCCAGCAGCACTTTATAGGTCTGTGTGACCTACGATGACGGCGGAAAGAAAGTTGTGGATAAAAGTGCAACAGTGTGCAAGCATTGTGCAACACGTGTTGTTTATGCTAACAGCAACATGACCAACATGTCAGGCTAACAATCAACATATACCGAACCGAAAACCGTGACCACGAATCCGTGAACCAAACCGTGGATTTTGTGAACCGTTCCACCACTAGTTTGGATTAAATAAAACTGGGTTCACTAGTGATTAGTGTTGGACGACATGGCAAAAACTTATATCACAAAACATTTCTTAATTTCGGCTTATTCGGTAAAATTCCTATATTCATATAAAAGCATAAAAAAGCCTAAAAAAAAACAGAAAGGAACTCCCATAACTAATACCTGTACACAGTTATGACATTTCTCCATGTTTATAAAACAACACATTTTAGAAATATTTGCTTAAAAAAAGAAAAACACATAAAACCCAATAAACCTACAAAATAAGTAAACCACTAATGCTGTGATAATAGAGCATAACATATACTAAAATATCAAAAATTTCCTTAAAAATCATTAAATTAATTAACTCATATCCTGATATTGATATATAGCCATACTGGCTTCAATATCTAGCGCCCTATAATTTCCACGATCACGGAACCGCGGATGGAATCGCGTAATTGGCAAATTAACGCGGAATCTAGTGTAAACGTGGAATTTCTACATTTGAAATGAAATTCTGTTTTTGTGTGGGAGAAGAACGTATGTCAGGGGGCAAATGCACACCGGGGGACGCAAATCTGGCCGACATAACCCTTCCCGCTCCGCTTCCGCTCACCCTCCCCCATCAAAACATTCAAAAACAGCACTGCTTTCGGCGAAAAAGTTGGAAAACACGACACTAAGCCCTGAGTACAGAGCCGAGCAGTTCCCTTGTGACTTTTACGTTTCAGGCGAACTATTGTTTTGCAAGTTTTGTCAACATCCCATTGATTGGAAGCGCAAAAATACATACATAAAACGGAAAAAAAATGGAATTTTCAAAAATTAAAACGGAAAAACAATTTGGGAAAAAATAAAACGGAATTTGGGAAAAAATAAAACAGATTTTATAGGGCCCTAAATATCCTAAATGTCAGGAAGTCTGTCTTTGTGATGGAGATAAACATTCAGCCTGTTGGATGAAGTCTGACTGCAACAGATACCTGCAGGTTTGCAGTAACAAAGATGATAAAGTCTAAATCGTTGGAAGGAAGAAACAAAGACAAGCAATATTTGAAGCATTGAGAGAATATTCTAATATTACGCTGCTGTTATACTGATATCAGAAATGTTAAATGTGCAGCAAATGTTTTTACTGAAAGTTAAAGAACCAGAATCAAAATTCTGCTCCTTCTCAACTCTCAGAGATGCTAGAGCTGTTAGACTGAACGAACCAATAAATCCACTTTAAAACACTCGACTTAAAGGAGTTTAAAAAAATAAAAGGATAAACAGATGTAAGTTTGGGTCCAAGTGAGAAAAAGCAAAAACCTTTTCTCACCTGCGGTCATGATCCCAGTGGAGGGAACAGGCACGACCGTGACGTTCTGGGAGGTGTGTGACTGGTGCAGATGTCCCCCGACTCCACTCAAGCTTCCATTACCGCTGTTGCCCCCCCCTCCTCCTGACGTGTTGCCACCTCCTTCCTGTTTGGGGACCACCCGCACCCCAGGCCCCGCGTCCACTGAACCCGGGATGGCGAGCACAGCGGTGGGGTAGTGAGGGGATGAGGTGGAAGACGTAGAGGAGTGAGGGAAGGGAGATGCGTTGGCCTTGTCCTGACCCAGCTGATCCTTAGTCTTGTTGAGGAACATGGCGTTCTCAATCTAGACAGTGGTGGAAAGTATAAAAGGTGGAGTAATAAAGGGGCGAGGTGGTATGTGGAAGGTAAAATGGTTTATGAGGGATAATAGAGGAGGTGAAAATAGAAGAAGAATGAAGAATGGTGAAAAAGGATTTATGGTGCACAATATAACCAAAAATGTTCAGATAAGAGTAGGAAGTTAGTAAAATTTTTTAAAAAGAGGTTAAGTATGAGGAGGAGAAGAAAAGTGTGGGATGTGAGGCCAAGATGCCACAAGGAAAAGGACAGAGGAGGTGATATAAATGATAACATTCAGGTTAAGAAAGGGGACCAACATGGGGAGGGAGTTAAAGGAACAAGTGATTGGATTAGTGAGGTGAAAGAGAATCAGAGAATGAGAGAAAAAAAGAATACAAAGGCATGGTGAGATGCAAAAAGTAAAGGACCAATGAGAAAATAAAGAGATAAAAGAGGAGAGGGACAGGAGCGACCATGTGATCAAGTGAATGCATCAAGAGATGTTACAAAAAAAGTCACTGTTCTTGAATTCATTCAAGAGAATCCTTAAAGAAGCAGTCAAAGTGATAATCCCATTATAACCATGTGCATTTCAAGACATTTCCAACAATAAGGTTGTCTCTACCTGTCCTTGTACAGTGGGGACGGGAGACCAAAAGTATGATGAGTTGAAATGGGAATCGTCCATTATTTCTGTAATTAAAAAGCAACACACTTAGAAAACACCTGTCCTTCCCCTCTTCACTGATTTCTTTTCTTTCAGTGTTACATAAAGGGAGACCATGCATGGCTGTATTCCCTTCATTACATCCTCTCCTCCAAAGACTTTGATACAACAAGCATATACCTTTTAAAGAAACTTAAATATAGGAACCAGCTATAAAAAAAAAAAAAATCCTCTTCTTACAGAGAATTTTATACCAAACTAGGTGTTTTAATGCTGATTTCAGCTTCATGATCAAATTTGCAAAGAGGATGTGAAAGGAATCTAAGCAAAAATGTTAATCCCAAATAGGGATGGTGACAGCAATAATATAAGGTTAGCAAATCAGCATGTTCTCATGTTTAGCACCACACCCCCCCATGCACTTCTTAATTTATCTCTTCAATTTGTGTTGCTGTGATAAAAAAAAAATACAATATTGGACAGGTTGTTATGGAAATTAAATGTGTAAGTTGTTAAATTATTTAATGCATGTGTGTAATTTTCTTTATTGGTAGGAAAAACCTTTTTTTTGTGTTTGTATCCATTAAATTTGTCAACACACCATGCATTTATATGCTACTTAGCATACCGGTATATAATGTTGCAGCAGTTAGTTTTGAGGCACAGCTTTTTTAAATGCATGTGAAGAATTAAAATGCCATGCATAGTCATATATTACCTCATTTCACACCTTAGCAAAATGCATGCAATTAGTTACATGTTAGTAAAGCTTATCCCTGTGGGTTATAACAAAAAATAGCTTCCAAAGAGGCTGGGAAGCTAATGAAAAAAAAACCACCATAGCAAATCCTTGGCACATTTCATGCAGCATAAGTCAGGGTATGTTTGTTTTTCATGTGCCACCTCTGATCTCTGCTGCAGCTAATTAATAAAATATGGGGAGAAACCAACAAGCCAAATCAATTCATCCGCCATGCTCTAAGTGATCAACACATCCGCTTTAAAAACAGAGGGGCTGTCACAGTGCTGCAGAAAAGTCGATGTTTCAGTGCTCTGAGAGCCATTTTTGAACGACCGGGCACAAACTGGCTCCAAACTGTGGCTAGCGGCGGGCTAACGTTAGCAATGAGGGAAGCTTGCAGGGATAAAATCGGTGTAAATACGTATATATTCGGATGAGATGTTTGAATGTTCTGGTGTGTTTTGCTGCAAGCTAAAGCGGGCTGAGGGTGTCATCGGAATAGCACACAAACATGGCTAACGCTAACTTGCCTCCATTAATTTTCTCCTTTTGTTCGTTGGCTTGTTCACTCAAGCTAAAACTAGAGGCCTGGCTGTGTTCAAAGGTTTGACCTGAGAACACAAACATCATCCGTCCCTACGCCTCCATTCCTCACTCCCTGCTCATCTCTCTCAGAGAAAATAAAAAAAAAGAAAAAAAAGTGTCGAATAAAAAAAAAAAAAAAAAAAAAAAAAA